TTTGCCGATACCGAGTACCGATACCGATATTTTTATTGCATTTGTACAAATTTTTTATATTGGGTACAGAAACCAAAAGGGTATGTATAATGTTAGTTGGTTAACTTCATTTATCAAATAGATACAGTCAAGCCAACATTTATTCAGACACCTTCAACATTTCTCACATTATCACAGTTTATATGCTACAGTTTAGAAAATGATAATAAAATATGGCAAGAACTGAGAGTTAAACTGTGTCAGAACAAATTCATCTTGATAATGTTACATAACTCTGATATAAAGGTATGTAATGGATTACAATCAACCAAAAATGAGACAGCTGTTAGTATGACAGTATTTACACAACTATAAATACTTAGTCGGGCAACCCTTAGCCTCAATGACAGCCTGTAGTCTCCTGGGCATGCTGTCACCCAGCTTCATGCAAACCTCAACTTCAATGTTTTTTTCCCAGACACGGTCTGAATAATTTTTGACCCAAATTTGTATCAATTTTACTGGTAGTCCACTGTATGAAGAATGTTTGGGTATGATTTGTCACAGTTTACTTTAAAATTATTCTTCGGTTATTTTCACACTTAATTATGCCCATTAAAATGTATTTTACAAGTTTTTGTTACTTTCACTGTTCATTTTTTTGCTCAGTGGTACATCATGTTTAATTTAATAGCATTAGAGCTGCTCCATTGCAGCGGCTCAGTACTGTAATCACGCACTTTGCTGTAATAATGCAGGGAACCACTCGTTATAAATCTCCTAACTGTGATATTTTCAGAAATAGGTCGCGATTTTTTTCATCTGAAACGTGCTGTGATTTATATTCCAAAGCCACTCACATAATGCAGAAACACTCAAGCAAGCAAAACACACGCAACGCGTGCACGTATTTGTACTGGTGCAGAATGAGAGGAACAAGTACAGTACAGCCTAGCGCATTTCTCACAGGTGCTTGAAGCCAGAATGAACGAGAGAAACTAAACGACAGGGAGACCACGCAACAAATGTGTGACTCAGAAAACCCACAATATTCAGTGGGTTCTCTGGTGTGTTGTTTAATAGCCTCAGGAGCGCCCAATAAACAGCACACCAGAGATCCCAGTGAAAATCTGAGAAAATAAGAGCAAAAGATGGCAGACTCTGCTGGCAGCCGCACACATACGTGCTGTTTAGCGTCTCTACGGCATCTCATGACTGAGCTCTCCGACGCCTACAAAGAGACATACAGAG